ACCTACAGAATGGGAGAAGATATTTGCAAATGACGTATCAGATAAAGGGCTAGTTTCCAAGATCTATAAAGAACTTCTTAAACTCAACACCAAAGAAACAAACAATCCAATCATGAAATGGGCAAAAGACATGAAGAGAAATCTCACAGAGGAAGACATAGACATGGCCAACATGCACATGAGAAAATGCTCTGCATCACTTGCCATCAGGGAAATACAAATCAAAACCACAATGAGATACCACCTCACACCAGTGAGAATGGGGAAAATTAACAAGGCAGGAAACCACAAATGTTGGAGAGGATGCAGAGAAAAGGGAACCCTCTTACACTGTTGGTGGGAATGTGAACTGGTGCAGCCACTCTGGAAAACTGTGTGGAGGTTCCTCAAAGAGTTAAAAATAGACCTGCCCTACGACCCAGCAATTGCACTGTTGGGATTTACCCCAAAGATTCAGATGCAATGAAACGCCGGGACACCTGCACCCCGATGTTTCTAGCAGCCATGTCCACAATAGCCAAACTGTGGAAGGAGCCTCGGTGTCCATCGAAAGATGAATGGATAAAGAAGATGTGGTTTATGTATACAATGGAATATTCCTCAGCCATTAGAAACGACAAATACCCACCATTTGCTTCAACGTGGATGGAACTGGAGGGTATTATGCTGAGTGAAGTAAGTCAATCGGAGAAGGCAACAGTGTATGTTCTCATTCATTTGGGGAATATAAATAATAGTGAAAGGGGAATATAAGGGAAGGGAGAAGAAATGTGTGGGAAATATCAGAAAGGGAGACAGAACAGAAAGACTCCTAACTCTGGGAAACGAACTAGGGGTGATGGAAGGGGAGGAGGGGGGGGTGGGGGTGAATGGGTGACGGGCACTGAGGGGGGCACTTGACGGGATGAGCACTGGGTGTTATTGTGTATGTTGGCAAATTTTACCCCAATAAAAAATAAATTTATTATAAAAAATAATAAAATAAAATAAAAGTTTGCTTAAATGTAACTTCCCACATGTGTCCAAGGGCTGTGTATTGGACAGTGTATTGGCCTATCATTCTAGAGACTGTTGCTCTTCAGTCCTGGGAAATTTTCTTGAATTATTTCTATCATTTTGTCTCTTCTTTGTTCAGACACCTATAGTCAGATGAACTGACCATAGGATGGAACTCCTTGAATTATTCTCTAGCTTTCCTATCTTTCCCTACCTTTTTCTTTTTCTTTTTTTTTGGGGGGGGGGTGAATACATAAAATTAACCCTGTGAACATGTCTTTATTTAAATTTGTATGTATTTTCCCTCATTGATTTCTTGCATAATATTGAGTTTTTAAAATAAGGTATGCAAATAAATTGTATAATTTATATGATTACTGAGAATTGGCAATTTTGCCCATAAGTGGAATGCCTCACTTGCCTCTCTGGTATCAGCAGGCCTGCTTGGAAGTCCCAACTAAATTTTTTAAAACATTGTGTTGGTAAGAGAAAATGTCCTCTCCTTACTCCTACTGTTTGTTTCATTTTGGGATTTAACTTTTCTTGACCTACAAGATATCTTTCTACTTGGGAACTGTTTTGAGACCCATTTTGCCCACTAGGGGAAGGAAGACAAGTGGGTTCTCATCCTGGCGTTTCTTTAGATCCTACAGGGCTGGGGAAAACTGAGGTGTGGTGGTCCTTCTCTCTACCTTGTGTTTACACAGCTGGATAGACACTTCAGACTTCAATTAGAATCCAGGAAATGGGGACATCCGGGTGACTCAGTGGTTGAGAGTCTGCCTTTGGCTCAGGGTGTGATACTGAGGTCCTGGGATGAGTCCCCCATCAGGCTTCCTGCATGGAGCCTGCTTCTCCCTCTACCTACGTCTCTGCCTCTCTCTCTCTCTCTCTCTCTCTCTCTCTCTCTGGATAAATAAATAAAATAAGTATATAAATAAAATCTTAAAAAAATATAATCCAGGAAATTAAGTCTCTAAACATTTATGAGTTCAGTGTCTCCTCACAGAGCATGTGGTAAAAAGAGCCATTTACACATAATCCATAAAAAGAAAAAGGTCAATAGTCCACATTCAGCAAACTTCCAACTTTTTGATTATGTATCAGTTAAAACTTGGACTCACGTCTCCTCATTCTGCTGAAAGAGACTACATTGCATAATTTGGAGTTACTCTATAACTCTTGTCTCTCTTAGCCATGAGTTGAACTGTGTATGAGTTCATATTGAATGAACATTTCTAAAGGGCCGGTGAGGGTCAGGTATCTGGTTGGGCAAAGTCACCAGATAGACCAGATACCATTACCCTATAGCAGGTGTTGATTTATAACCCAATGGTCGTGTGGTTATTTGTTTAGTGTCTCTCATACCTTTAGAGTATCAGGTTCATTAGGCAGATATTTTGACCTTTTAATATTAGGGCTAGGCCCATGGACAAAATGCAGCAGGTGTAGAGCCCAACCAACATGTAGGGAAATGGGAGAAGGACCCATCTCCTCCAGTTTTCGGAATGTCCATGAATCAGTCAGTTACTTCACCACTCCCACACCAACCACAGGACCCAATCACCAAAACTTAGATACCCCCAGGTAATCCAAAATTGACAAACTCAGGTATGGGCTTACTGAGAAGAATGAGGGCTTGACAGCTTAGGAACAGACAGGGAATCTTGGTTTCATTTTTATAACCTGAGATTGGGACCTGTGAAATTTGGATACAATGCACAAATATTTCCATTCTAGAGCAACACTGACTCCCAAACTGTGAGCAGTTCTCTCTTGGCCAGTAAAAAATCAGGCCCAGCTTCTGAGAAGAGGTACCACAAGGGCTCAGGATATAAAGGGATGGGAATATTAGATGGCCCAGACTCCTTTCCTCCCTGAGTTTCTGACTGCCTGTCCACCAACACTAGTATCCGAGCCTAAGACTTCCCTGAACATATCTGAGGTTCAATATACAATAGCGAACGAAACTGAAAAGCATAGAAATCCTTCCCTGTGCAGGAAGATGCATAGTTTATTTTCCTTGGCTATACTATAATTATCTGTTAGATTCCCCTATCTTCAACCTGAATGATGTCTGAGTCTTAGCTGTATTTTTACCCTCACAAAATTAGAGTTTGGAAAGTACATGATGAGCATATTTGTACAGGAAGGAGTGATCAGAGCCACAGAGCATGCGGGGTAGTCCCTGATGCTCACTGTCTTCCTTAACACATTCTGCACAGCTCTGAGAATGGGAATCTTGTCATGTCAGGTGTCCCCTGCCGGGGAAGGATGGGGCACAAACCTCATGCTTCTATTATTTTCCCCTACAGACAAGACCATCTGCATTGGTCCGGTGCTGGCTGCATTTTGGTCCCCAGCAATGGCTAGGATATCACTGTTGGGACAGATTCCAAGCAGCTAGAGCAGGACCTGAGGTGAATAGGGCAGGTGGATACTCATATTAGGCTTGGTTAGGAAATTGTCATAGTGGAGCATGGGTTTTGGAGGAGGATGAAGGCGTGTTAGTTTCCACAGAGATTTGATTTCCAAGTAAAATAAGAAAGGCTCTGTGTTTACGTGAGAGATGTAAGTGGTTCCTGTTATCCAATGACAGGAATCTTTCCTTGTTTGCGTGTATTCTGTGTATCTCTCTGCTGGGGAACTTAGGGAGGCAGATCCCATCCAACGATATTCTTACTATCACCTCTATTGGCAATCTGCCTTCCCTGCTGAGATGAGGCAGAGTTCTTTGTTGTGGGAGACCCACAAGGAAACCCCTGTTCAGGTCACCATGAAGGTCTTGAACAGAAACTTAACCAGTTTGCTGTTGTAGTCTTGGGTCTCAGTTTCCTATTGTGACCCTTATGACGGAGGGCTCTGATGTTGTGAGTGCAGAAGACTCTTCAGTCTCTCTTCATGTTCACTTATTTGCAATAGGTTCTTGTGATCAATGGCGGATGGAAAACCCATTGCAGTCACTAAGTCTCAGTCTTTACATCTGTAAACACAGAATAGTATGACCCTATTGAATGGTGGCCAGTAAATACCCCAAAAAGGGGCAGAATATTTCAGAATTCCTGGGAGTTGTTCCCCTACTTTTCCTAGGATTGTCTTCCAGCTTCCTATGTCTATGCATTGTTGGTACTAAAGATTGGAGGCACTTCTCTGGGATAACTCCATTGTCCCAGAGATTCCAGAGGTATGCCACATAATCCACGGTTTCTCGGGCCATACAGACACAGAACATGGGTCTGAATGATAATGAGCAGGTATAATTTCCAGATGCTATGTTCTCAGATCTCTCCCATCAGGTATGTGGGCTGGTCACCAAAACCTGCCGAGATAGGACCTACAGGAAGCCCAGTCATTGCACCTCTACCAACTCAACTCCACCAACCTTTCTGAATGCTTGCTGAGTATGTAGTCCTTTGCTGGGAACTAGGGCCATAATGTTGACAGGTGCTCAGACTGTGCCTTTCTGAAGCTCTCTATCTGTAAGGCAAATAGATGTGCAGACCAATAATAGGGCTGGAGGGTAGAGAGGACAATAATAGAACCGGGGCATAGGGGATAGAAATCTCCCAGAGGACAAAGCGGTTATATGTGTTCAAGGAGGTTGCTGAAGAAAGACTCCAATAGAGGGGAATATATCAGAGCTGGATTTGAAGGATGGGTAAGAGCTTTCTAGGGAGCCCAGTGACATTTGTAGTCAGAGGAACCCACATGGGTAGAGATGTGCAGACTTAGTTTGCTTGAAGGATTTCATGTATTTAAAAATAAAGGAAGCCATGGTGACAAGGGCAAGTGAGGGATTTAAATACGGTGACTTTACCTGAGTTTCTGTAACCTTTGAGATTACCGATAACACTGATTGAGTTGTTTATTGATTTTGGACAGAATATGATCTCAAAGGTCAATCTGGGAGTGTGTCCATGATGCTTTGCCAACACTCATGGCTGGGGGAAAGGGCCCTGCTACTGGCTCCAGCTCCAGTCCTGCCCCATTTTCAGTATACACATTCCAGCCTCACGGAATCATTGCTATAGGAAGGGAAGCTGCACACACGCAGGTCATCAAAGAATAGCCCACACTGCTGAACAAAAGTAGAGGAGACTCACAGAGAGAAAGTGGCCATGGACCTGATCCCAAGCTTTTCCACAGAAACCTGGCTTCTTCTGGCCACCAGCCTGGTGCTGTTCTACCTGTAAGTAACTACCCAGGTTCATCATCCCCAGAACCTTCAATTTGTGTTGCTAATCAGCATCCACTCCCTTTTCCTTGTCTGTTTTGAGAATCAAAGGAATTAAGAAAGGAAAAGTTGCTTAAGTGTTGAGTACTTCAAACATGCTGTGAACACCTAAAAGATTATTATTGACCTCACCAGATCTACTGAAGTATACACCTACCACACCGCAACTCCAATTCCTGTAGCTAGGAGGGTTTGAGGACAGTAGTTGCTTCTGGGGGTGATCTTCTGATGGACCACCAGTTGGGACCTAGACTAATTAAGCAGATTCAAGAGAGTCAGAATAAAATCAACAGGCCCCAATACCCTGGGTTCCTCATCCCTTTTCTAAGCTATGGGGATTCTGGAGGCTGAGGGAGTGGCTTGAGTCATTGGCTCATTACCTTCACCTTCTGGTCTGTCCCTTCCACAGGATATGTATAGGATTGGGCCTGTATCACTAGGTGGCTCCTGCTCCCCCCCCCCTACCGCCAGGCATTATGAATACAAGGCACTTGATGCACCCTGACAACCGAGGGGGTGCTAGAGATGCTTTTTTCCCCTCTTCTAACTGAGCTCTTCCCTCTTTCCTGCACCACTCTACTGGCCATCCCTCACCCTGTACTGTGCAGAACTCCTTACCCCTAAATCAACATCTTTAGAGCTGAGGAGACTTGGTAGAAATCTTTCAAAATTTATTCATTTTACCTTTTCCTTCCAGTCTCTGGAATGGTTAGCATCAGGATAGAGATTTTTTTTTTCCCCTATCCCTCGATATGAATCTGCCAGCATCCAAGAGGCAGAGCTCTGAAAGCCAATTTGGATTTAAACTATGCTTTTGCCTTTATATTACAGTATTGGAGGAGGAATTGAAACATCTGGCAGAGGAATTCCTTTCAGTGATGGGATTCCCACCATCATGGAGCAGTTTGGGAAAGGATTGAGTTTTACAACATGGGTAGGGACAGACCCTCCGTATCATATTTGACCTCTGTCTCAATTTCACTTTCTTTAAGAGGAGGAAATCATGAGATTTAAACATAAAACATGGAACATAGAACATTTTCATTTTCTAAGAGAAAGGTTAGAATGCTAGGTAGTGTGGCAAAACATTTCTGTATGATGACATTTAAAATGAATAGATAGTGTTTAATTTCATTCTCCTTAACAATAGGGTTGGGTTTTTTGTTTTGTTTTGTTTTTTTTTTTGCTGAGATAAGAGTCTTTCTAGTATGATTTTTCCTACCAATAAAAGAGGGCTGTTGGTTCAGCCTTTGTGACTGTAAAGGTGCATAAATAGCATACATCTCCTAGAGTAATATGAATTTAGTGTACACATGCATTCTTCTATGATATAGGTTGTATGTATCTTACATGCATGTGCCCACAGCTTATTTTAATTTTTCAGCACAGGTGAGTAGTGAGACAGAGCCAGAACTGATGTGAGAGGCATCCAGATAGAACTGGGGATGGAGCAGGAGAATATTCATCCCTCAGAACAGACCTCCCAGAAATACTCCTCTGTCCTGGTCCGACAGGAGATCATCACGGGACCATAAGGTTAGCATCTCATCTGCTTGAAGCGAGTGAACAAGAACACACCATGTAAGTTCCAGTGTGTCATCTGGCAATGGGGCTGTCACTGGATACTATCACCACCAGGCAAACAACACTGTGGACTTAGAAGACACTGGTGTAATCAAGACTCAGTAGCTGTAGACAGTGCCCTCTGCAGGCAGGCAAGCAAAAACAATTTTAAAAATGGCTTCTATGTTAGGCCCTTCATTTGTACCAGCAGCTGCATGACTCTACCAAGAAGAGGGAGGCTGGAAAGAATCAGAAAAATTCACTCAGCCCACTCCCTGTCATCTTATGGAGCCATGTGGCTTTAGACAGTACACAAGATCTTTCCTTGGGACCAGTGTTCCTGACTATCCCTCACTTGCTTGGCCTCACTTGGGAGTTCATGGAGCACAGTGAATGTTCAGAAACAGGACTTGATTTAGAGTGGTGGTGATGGCAAGAAGAGAATGGAGGTGGGACCAACTAAGACTACCCTGGCTTCTACAATTGGTGCTGATGAGTCCAGCTGTACTAGAGGAAGGATCCAAACACTCAGTCGGGCACAGCTGAGGTACACCCACTGGTCCCTCAAATACTGGTCATTTTGTGCAATTTTGTGAGTTTGTTTACATTTTATATGATTTGCTGGATTTGTAGAGACTATTTTGAACATTTACTGTCTTCAGGCTAGTCCCCAGAGATGAGGAGACAGGGTCTTCATTCCAATCTATGGAACATTTTATCATTACTCATTTTTGTTGCATAACATGTATTCTGCTATCAACTGGAGGTGTCTGGACTTTGGAAGGTCTCATATCAGATAGCCCCTGCAGGGCATGTACCATCTCTACCCAACACCGTTTCCAACTGTACTTTCCTTATTTGTCTCTCCTGGGTTAGCCTTGTGGGCCTAGCAGGTTCGTGGATAAAATGGTTTCTGGCAGCTCCTATCCTCAGCCTTTCTTCTTCCTCCACCCTGCCATCCCTCAGCAAACCTAAGTGGAAGGGTTCTAAGTATCTAGAACCCCCAGTTATGGGATTCTACACATGACACATGAAAGATGATTGTAGGCAAGCCTGTCATAGGGAGCATCAACCGTAGTGGGTTTCTCAGACAGTGGAAGCACAGAGCCAGTAAACTAACTGCGTTGTGAGTAACCATCTTGAAGAGAAAATGAGTGTACGTTGCAGTGTGCTGAGCAGGTGAGTATCACAGGCTGAAGGACCAGATGCCACGATGGGAAGAATGGTCTGGAAGTGGATTGTTTTCTTACTGATTCTTTTATATGGAGTCATTTGGGGCACATATGGGCCAGTCTGTCTTCTCTGCAGCTCAAGAGAACCAGACTGCTCCACAACAGAGACTTGGGTGGAGCTGAGATTTCACTGTTAGCAAAGCTGTCACTTTTCTATGGGACAGTGGAGTTTGGACATAATTTTTATTATACAAACATAAGAGCACTGTAGTTGCTCAAGGCCTCTCTCGCTGAAGATAGATTTAAGAAGACCCATATTCAGAACCATCACAGAGCCTATAGTGAAGGAAAAACACAAAGATCTCTGAGCAAACTGTATGAGTATTTTCATGGTCGGCTCTCAGTAACCTCTCAGCTCTTGAGTAGATGCAATTAAGCAAAATCTCATCACTAGAGTAGAGAATCACATTTCCTCTTTCCACCTAGAATGAGAATCTCCAAAATCATGGAAGAGTCATTTACTAAATAGGCATAACTGAATTTCCTGGAAGAAATCAGCATGAATCTTTCAGGAGCACTCAAGGGTGGAATATTTATCAAATATTCATTCTAGGATTGAGACCACGACATTTTCAGCTACTCTTAGCTAATCATTATTACGTTTTGACAGTCTCACAGTGGAGACTGGAAAGGAGATGATCAACATCATCTTCAGATGATGATGAGCGAATGCAATTATTGCTGTTGGAATTGTTGTTATCATTTCTTGCCGATTGTTACCTCCTCCCTCCCTTGACTATTCCACTTCTGTGTCATTGACTGGCCGGCCCCAGCACCTATTCCACCATCCCTGTGACCTGGCTTTCTCTTTCACTTTATAGCTATGGGACCTACACGCATGGACTTTTTAAGAAGCTGGGAATTCCTGGGCCAACACCTCTGCCTTTTTTGGGAACTGTTCTTGGCTACCGTAATGTGAGTATTGTTTGAGCTATGACTTTTGCTTCTGTCAATTGCAAATCCCACTTTAATTCCATAATAAAAATGCTCCTTCTCACGAGGAAATCTCCGATTTCTGACTTTCCAGAAATGGTGTCAGGTCTACCCCAGAGCTCTATTGTCTGTTATTACGAGCCTCAGGGTTTGCCTCAGTGGGCAGCCCAGCTCTCTGACTAATTCAGCATGGAACTTGATGCCTTAGCTTATGAGCATTATGAAGAGGCTTTTGTTTTGTTTTTGGAAGGTGTGGATTCCCAGGAAGGCATCATCATATTGGTATTAGGAGAAGAGAACCAGGGTGTCCGTGCTAGTGGTCCAGTGAGCTATGTATGCTAGAATCAGACTTTTTTGTTCTTGCACAAACCCTGGATAGCCCTTTCCATTTCCTGGATGGTTCTTGAACTTCAGATTATTGGGAAGCCCAAGATTCACCACTGGGGAATTAGCACATACTTGAGTTATCTCACGAACTGACCAACCCCCTGCAGTTATTTCCATGCATCTAATTCTCCCTTTGCTAACAGTGAAATCTCAGCTTTACTTCTCTACCTTCAAAAGAGACACCCTATGTGTGAGTTCAGCAGGGAGGGAGTATAACTGAGGTGAGATGCTGTTTCTCTATTGACTTCAGGTTTTAACCTTTAAAGGACTTGTGTGGTTTTCGTTTTCCTACAAAGCAAGAACCACCCATATATCCCTAGAAAAGAGATACTTTGACAAAATTATTAAGAAATTAATGTAACTTGTTAAGCCGGGTGGGTGGCTCAGTTGGTTAAGCAACAGACCTTCGATTTCAGCTCAGGTCATGATCTCAGGGTCATGGGATGGAGCTCAGCATCTATTCCACATGCAGCATTGAGTCTGCTTCAGATTCTCTCTCTTCCTCTCCCTTTGCTTCTTCCCTGCACCCCCCACCCTGCTTGTGCTCTCTCTCTTTCATTTTTGAAATAAATCAATAAAATCTTTACAAAAAAGAAATTAATGTAATTGAATGGAATGTACTAGTGACATACAGACTGATGTTGGTAGAGTGGTTGCGGGTAATCCAGCTTTGATGCCTTGTCCGAAGTCTAGTCTTCTACAGGGGTTAGAAGATCACATAGAGGAAGTCAGCAGTCTCACCTGCAAGCTGTTCTCTGCTGTGGAGTTCCTTTCCCACAGATCTGAGGCTTGTTTCTCTGATTCTGCTTTTCCCTACTGAGACTCTCAGTGCCCAATTATTGTCTAAGAACTTCTGGACTTTCCCTCTGAAGAAACAATAATTTCCTTTCCACTTTTCCCAGATCAATTCCTTAGTACATACACCCAAGACCACATTTCTGGGATCCTGATTTGTATTGTTAAAACATCAAAATCACAGTTGAAATGTAGGCATTAGAAGTCTTGTTGTTGTTCTTTTAGTGATAGAAGTGAAAACTCTTATCAAGTGTTTTATTTGTCTCTGATATTTGTGGGATGGGGGCATTATCTCCTCTCTGTGTTGTGATGGAGAACTGGAAGGAGAGTCCACTCTGTCATTCATTCATTCCTCACTTTCTCACTAAACAAGCATGTTTAGACTCATATAAAACTGCTAGATTAAAAGAGGTCACTGGTGCCTTAATATCCTAAATCAGCTAGGGCACCCCCCAGGTGGCTCAGTGGTTGATTATCTGCCTTTGGCTCAGTCATGATCAGAGTCCTGGGATCGAGTCCCAATCAGGCTCTCCGCAGGGAACCTGCTTCTCCCTCTGCCTATGTCTCTGCCTATCTCTGTGTGTCTCTCACGAATAAATAAATAAAAATCTTTTTTAAAAAAATTAAAAAATAAAGAGTTAAAAATTAACATAAAATAAAACAAATATCCTAAATCCATTGGAATCTAGTAGGGCTCATGAGATCAACAAACAGAATGCTATCTGACATTCAGAATATGCAGCCATGTTGCCTTTCCCTCAGCTCCAGTCTTCTACATGGCCCTGAGGTAATGATTCAGAGGGTTCTGAGATTTAGATATAATGCACAAGCCAAACACATCAGACACACAGAGACTACCCAGTCCTCCCAGACAGGGTAAGATGTTCAGTATCTCCAACACTTGGAAAGAGTGCAAGAGGGACATGAAATTCTCCATTTCCATATATCCTCTGTTTTCTCTCATTTCTGATAGTCCCCTGTGATTAACAGCTTCCCTCTATCTGCTAGTGAGAGGCTGTAAAGCACATTTCATGTGATCTAAGTCATTTTGTTCCCCATTACCCATAGGGCTCAGTACATTTAGACTAATAATATGTTTTGCTTTTTCTTGCAGGGTTTTTGTGATTTTGATGAGAAATGTTTTAGAAAGTATGGAAGAATGTGGGGGTGAGTATTCTGGACATTTCCATTGGTTAAGCCTGTTGTGATGAGGAGGACCCTGTGGTGTGGACAGTCTTAGTCGAGAGCCCCTTGTGATGAATGAAGCCTGCTGTAGTAAAGCTTCTGGAGGCTCTCCTTCCCAAGATCCCACCACGTGTGCAGCTCTAAGTGTAAATCGGACCTGGAGTGTATCCTTTATTTATAGTCTGGATTAAATATATCTTTTGAAAGAAGGGTTTGGATAAACAGAATGGAAAACCATTTCTACTCACCTTTTCTTTTTTTATCTATATTTTTTATTGGAATTCGATTTGCCAACTTATAACACCCAATGCTCATTCTGTCAAGTGCCCCTCCTCAGTGCCTGTCACCCAGTCACCCCATTCCCCCGCCCACCTCCCCTTCCACTATCCCCTTGTTCATTTCCCAATGTTAGGGGTCTCTCATGTTTTGTCACCCTCTCTAATATTTCCAACTCATTTTCTCTGCTTTCCCTTATAATCCCTTTCTCTATTTTTTATATTCCCCATATGAGTGAACTTATATAATGATTGTCCTTCACCAATTGACTTGCTACTCACCTTTTTCTTACTTTTTTGTAAGTGTGAAGTTTGTTTTGCATTTTAATATTAGGCCCAGATTTTTCTTTCAACGGAAGTATTCAATGTGGAAGTATTTCTTTATTCTGTGGACTTGAGATGTAAGAGAATTTTAAGCCACAGTGTTTCCTGGTGGGCTGATGGACTTGGTGATTTTGTAGTATGATCTTGGCTTCTTGCACTGGATGCTCCTGTGCAGAGCTGCCAGAGGTTTGGTGAAGCTGAGGGAGAGATATGATGTGGTTCTGGGATGCTCACAGCCAGGAGTGTACCTCCTCTTACCTCTTTATCTTCTCTGGTCACATCCTCAGAGACCGTGGGGCTCTGAGTGGCAAGGCCCATAAGCAGCATGATGGAATAGAAAGAAGACAGATCTCTGGATGGACACTGGTTTAGCTCCACTGTCCCTGCCCACCTTCAGCACTGCTCAACTCTGAATGGAGTCAGAATTACATCATGTGCCCCGGTTCTGTCTTTACTGTGTGGCTCTCGAGCCTGGCTGTGACAAGAACCACCTGGGAGAGCTTGTTCAAAAGGCAGATTCTTGGGCCCCATGTCAAACTTACTAACCTAAGTTTCTTCTGGATGATATATATAAACATTATTTGAAATGTCTAAAATACATCAAAAATATTTGAAACATTCTAAACATGCAAAAAAACTGTAGAGAATGGAACTATCCATGTACACATCACCTAGAGTTAACAAATGTTCTACTGTTATTTCTAATCATGATGTCAGAGTTTAGATTATATAATGTCAGGATAAAAGTTGAGACTTCCAGGTATGGCTGCAGCTGCAGAAACTATCATGTTAATATAATCAGCTCTGTTTTCCCGACACAGGTTTTATGATGGGCGACAGCCCGTGTTGGCTATCATGGATCCAGACTTGATCAAAACAGTGCTAGTTAAAGAATGTTATTCTGTCTTCACAAACCGACGGGTAAGAATTGAGTTATTTTAATTTTATTTATTATTTATTTATTTATTTATAATAAATCTATTTTTTATTGGTGTTAAATTTGTCAACATACAGAATAACACCCAGTGCTCATCCCGTCAAGTGCCCACCTCAGTGTCCACTACCCAGTCACTCCCACCCCCCACCCACCTCCCCTTCCACCACCCAAGTCGTTTCCTAGAGTTAGGAGTCTTTCATGTTCTGTCTCCCTTTCTGATATTTCCCACTCATTTTTTCTCCTTTCCCCTTTATTCCCTTTCACTATCTTTTATATTCCCCAAATAATTGAGACCATATAATGTTTGTCCTTCTCCAATTGACTTATTTCACTCAGCATAATTTATTTTTTCAATTGGAGTTCAATTTTCCAACATATAGCATAGCACCCAGTGCTCATCCCATCAAATGCCCCCCTCAGTGCCCGTCACTTAGTCACTCCCACCCGCCGCCCATCTCCCTTTCCACCACCCCTTGTTTGTTTCCCATCGTTAGGAGTGTCTCATGTTCTGTCTCCCTTTCTGATATTTCCCACTCATTTTTTCTCCTTTCCCCTTTATTCCCTTTCACTGGAATTGGAGGGTATTATGCTGAGTGAAATAAATCAATCGGAGAAGGACAAACGTTAATGGTCTCATTCATTTGGGGTATATAAAAAATATTTATTTATTTATTTATAAAACTTTGTTTTGACACAATGACAGACTCACAGGAGGTTGTCATAGGAGGTCCCATGTTGTATGGTCTTCAAGCCCTTTCCCCTAAGGTAATATCCTGCATAATGATAGTACAGTATGGAAGCAGAAATAGCCATTGGGTCTAGCCATTGAACTTATTCAGATTTCAGTGATTTTAGGCACACTCAAATGTACCTTGTGCACGTGTGTATTGCTCCTGAACACTGATCTTACATGTAGACTTGTGTATCCTCCACCCCATTCATGTTATAGAGCTGTTCCATCATCAGCCTCCTGCTTACTTTCTTTTGTAGGCATGGTATGTAGCTTGTCTTTTTGTTGTATGAGAGTCTTCTGCAGAGCAAACATTTCTTATCTTGATAAGGCCAATTTAACATTCTTTTCCTTTTATGGGCTGTGACTTTGGCATCAAGTTTGAAAACTCTTTATCTAGCCCTAAGTCCCAAGAATTTTCTCAGAGTAGTTCATTTTATAGTTTACATTTAAGTATATACTTTTATGTTTTATATTTGTAATATGAATCATGCATAGTTTTGTGTTTCACATTTAATTCTGTGATCCATTTTGTGTTAATTTTTAGTGTTAATTGTGAGCTGTGACATTTAGGTCAAAAATCCTTATTTCTGGCCTATGGATGTGTAAGCACTCCAGCATCACTTGTGGAAAGGCTGTACTTCCTGCATTGAATGGCTTTTGTACCAGTATCAAAACTGAGTCGGGCCTATGTGTTTGTATCTATTTTTCAATCTCTGTTCTGTTCATTGATCTCTGTATCTATCCCTCTACCGGTGCCACCGTGTCTTGATTACTGTAACTATATAGTAAGTCTCAATATCATGAACAGTGATTCCTCCCATTTTATTTTTGTTGGAATTGTTTTAGGTATTCTAGCTCCTTTGCCTTTCCATACAAATTTAGAATTAGCTTATCTATGTTTGCATAATATTTGCCAGGATTTTGTAAGACATGATTTAGACCTACCAATCATTTGTGCAAAATCTATATCTTTATTATGTCATGTCTTTCAAAGCATGAACACAATATGTGTTTATTTAGGCTTTCTTTGAGTCTTTTCACCAGCATTTCATTCTCCACAGGAAAACCATACATGTTTTGTTCAATACACATCTCAAGTATTTCACCTTCTTTGTGTGATTATAATTATTGTGTTCTTTTTTTAATAAATTAATTTTTATTGGTGTTCAATTTACCAACATACAGAATAACACCCAGTGCTCATCCTGTCAAGTGTCCCCCTCAGTGCCCGTCACCCATTCACCCCCACCCCCCGCCCTCCTCCCCATCCACCACCCCTAGTTCGTTTCCCAGAGTTAGGAGTCTTTATGTTCTGTCTCCCTTTCTGATATTTCCCACACATTTCTTCTCCCTTTCCTTATATTCCCTTTCACTATTATTCATATTCCCCAAATGAATGAGAACATACACTGTTCCTTCTCCGATTGACTTACTTCATTCAGCATAATACCCTCCAGTTCCATCCACGTTGAAGCAAATGGTGGGTATTTGTCGTTTCTAATGGCTGAGTAATATTCCATTGTATACATAAACCACATCTTCTTTATCCATTCATCTTTCGATGGACACCGAGGCTCCTTCCACAGTTTGGCTACTGTAGACATTGCCGCTAGTAACATCGGGGTGCAGGTGTCCCGGCGTTTCATTGCATCTGAATCTTTGGGGTAAATCCCCAGCAGTGCAATTGCTGGGTCGTAGTGCAGGTCTATTTTCAACTCTCAATAAATGGTGCTGGGAAAATTGGACATGCACATGCAGAAGAATGAAACTAGACCACTCTCTTTCACCATACACAAAGATAAACTCAAAATGGATGAAAGATCTAAATGTGAGACAAGATTCCATCAAAATCCTAGAGGAGAACACAGGCAACACCCTTTTTGAACTTGGCCACAGTAACTTCTTGCAAGATACATCCACGAAAGCAAAAGAAACAAAAGCAAAAATGAACTATTGGGACTTCATCAAGATAAGCAGCTTTTGCACAGCAAAGGATACAGTCAACAAAACTAAAAGACAACCTACAGAATGGGAGAAGATATTTGCAAATGACGTATCAGATAAAGGGCTAGTTTCCAAGATCTATAAAGAACTTCTTAAACTCAACACCAAAGAAACAAACAATCCAATCATGAAATGGGCAAAAGACATGAAGAGAAATCTCACAGAGGAAGACATAGACATGGCCAACATGCACATGAGAAAATGCTCTGCATCACTTGCCATCAGGGAAATACAAATCAAAACCACAATGAGATACCACCTCACACCAGTGAGAATGGGGAAAATTAACAAGGCAGGAAACCACAAATGTTGGAGAGGATGCGGAGAAAAGGGAACCCTCTTACACTGTTGGTGGGAATGTGAACTGGTGCAGCCACTCTGGAAAACTGTGTAGTTACTGTGTTCTTAATGTGTTTTCACATATTCATTATCTAGAAATGTGGATGATTTTTGGTGTTGATCTTTCTTCCTACATCCTAGCTTAGCTCATTTATTAGATGCAGAGATGTTCTTTTTTATATCCCTCAAGATATTCTACATCACCAATTATTTCACCGATATAGGGACACTCCTATTTTTTATTTTAGAAAAATACTTCATTTTATTTTATTTTATTTTAGTTCAATTTGGCAACATATAGCATAATCCCAGTGCTCATCCCATCAAGTGCCCCCCCAGTGCCCGTCACCCAGTCACCCCAATCCCCTGCCCTCCTTTCTTTCCTCCACCCCTTGTTCGTTTCCCAGAGTTAGGAGTCTCTCATGTTCTATCACCTTCACTGATATTTCTCACTCATTTTCTCTCCTTTCCCCTTTATTCCCTTTCACTATTTTTTATATTCCCCAAATGAATGAAACCATATAATGTTTGTCCTTCTCCAATTGACTTACTTCACTCACCATAATACCCTCCAGTTCCATCCACTTCAAAGCAAATGGTGGGTATTTGTCATTTCTAATGGCTGAGTAATATTCCATTGTATAAATATACCACATCTTTATCCATTCATCTTTTGATGGACACCAAGGCTCCTTCCACAGTTTCGCTATTGTGGACATTGCTGCGATAATCATTGGGATGCAGGTGAGGGACACTCCCACTTTATCTTTTTAATCTGCATGCCTTTTATTTCTTTGTCTTGTCTTATTGCACTGGCTAGGATTTCTAGTATGGTTTTTGAATAAGAGTGGTGAGAGTGAATATTTTTGCCTTGTTCCTGATGTTAAGGGTAAACATTCAGCTTTTCACCATTTAACTATTTATACATGTATTTTTACAATGCAAACTATATATTTAAATGTGATGTTTTGATTTATAAAGTCATCATCACAAATGAAACGCATTAACATATCTATCACCACCCAGAGTTACTTTGTGTGTGTGCATGCGCGTGTGTGGTAAGAACATGTAAGATCTACTTTTTAAGCAAATTTCAAATATATGGTACAGTATTTTAATTATAATCACCATGCAGTATATTTGGTCTCCAGAACTTATTTTTCTCAACACTGAAAGTTTGTACCCTGTGATTACTATTTGCCCTTTTTCTTCCTCCCCAGCCTCTGACAGCTACCATTCTACTCTGTTATTGAGCTTGACTTTATTTTTCTAGATTCCACTTATAAGTGAGATCAGGTGTTACCTGTCCTTCAGTGTATGGCTTAGTTCCCTTAGTATGTAGTCATGTTGTCCACATTCAACCATGCTATTGGAAATGGCAGGATTTCCTTCTTTTTTAAGGTTGAGCAATATTCAATTTTCTTTATCCATTCATCCTTCCATTTAAATTTAAGTATGTATACATGTATGTATTTGTACTTAAAATCTAGTGAGTTAACATACAATGCAATATTTGTTTCAAAAGTGGAATTCAGTGATTTATCGCTTATATACAATACCCAGTGCTCATCACGGGTGCCCTCCTTAATGCTCATCACTCATCTAGCCCTTCCACCATTCACCTCCCTCTATCGACCCTCAGTTTGTTCTCTATCATTAAATGTCTCTTGTGATTTGTTTCCCTCTCTCCTTTTTCCCCCTCCCTTCGCATATGTTCATCTGTTTTGTTTCTTAAATTTGACTTAGGAGTGAAACCATATCGCATTTGTCTTTCCCTGACTGACTTATTTCACGTAGCATAATACTCTCTTGCTCCATCCACGTTGCTGCAATTGGCAAGATTTCATTTATTTGATGGCAGAGTGATATTCCATTGTGTGTGTGTGTGTGTGTGTATACACCACATCTTTATCCATTCAAAAGTTGATGGACATTTGAGCTCTCTCCATAGTTTTCCTATTGTTGATAATGCTGCTATAAATATGGAGCATGTATGCCTTTGAATCTCTATTTTTGCATGCATTGGGTAAATACCTATTAGTGCAATTGCTGGATTGTAGCATAGTTCTATTTTCAACTTTTTGAGGAAATTCCATACTCTTTTCCAGAGTGGCTGCACAAATGTGCGTTCCCACCAACAATGCAACAGGGTTTCCCTTTCTCCACATCCTCACAACATCTGTTGTTCCCAGAGTTGTTAATTGTAGCCATTCTGGCAGGTGTAAGCTGGTATCTCACTGTGGATTTGATTTGTGTTTCTCTGATGATGAGTGATGTTGAGCATTTTTTCATGTGTCTGTGAGCCTTCTGCATGTCTTCTTCCGAATAGAGTCTTTTCATGCCTTCTTCCCATTTCTTAACCAGATTATTTGTTTTTTGGGTGTTGAGTTTCATAAATTATTTATAGGTTTTGGATCCTGTCGGGGGCGGTCCCGCGGTGCAAGGCAAGGTTCCAGGTTGAGCAAAGGCTCATGTCATACCTGGCCAACCCGGTATGCACCTAGTTCTTCCCCCTTATGGAAGTAAAAGTACATATTTGCTTCTCCTTTAAAATGTTATTGGGACAAGTTCCCATAAAGTAAGCAAGGAAGTGGCTTGACACATGACTGCCTTGGCAGACATTACTTAATAAACAAACCTCACTGTTTAGTCTAAATGTGGCATTCAGTTTTAAAAACAATGTATGTTTATGCACGAGATGTACTTCTCCTTAGAGAAATAGGCCACCTGCTTACAGAGGCTATATAAACTCTACATGTAAAAATAAAGCTTGTCCATTGTGGCCATCAGCTGCATGGAACCTCCTATCCCATGAAATTTTAGTTTCTTGTTTATTTCTCATCCCCTTGCCCACGGTTCCTGAATCCGGACCTTCTCGTGCCGGCCGCGACAGGATCCCAATCCTTTATCAGATATATAATTTACAAATGTCTTCTCCCATTCCAAAGGTTGTCTTTTAGTTTTGTTGATTGTTTCCTTCACTATGCAGGAGATTTTCATCTTGATGAAGTCCCAATAGTATGTTTCTGTTTTTGTTTCCCTTGTTTCCAGTAACGTGTCTAGTAAAAGTTGCTAAGGCTGAGGTGAAAGAGGTTTCTGCCTTTTATGTGATGTGCCCCTTGTTTCTTGCTCCTGTCAAGATTTTTTCTTTGTCTCTAATTTTTTTGTCTTCAATTTTTGACAATTTTATTATCATGTGTCTTGGTGGAATCTTTTTTTGAATTCAATCACATTGAGGACTACATATCCCAAGATTTCTGTGCATTTCCCTAGTTTGGGAAGTTTTCGGCCATTGTTTCTTTAGGTAAGCATTCTGTCCACTTCTCTTTTCCTCTACTGGGATCCCCATAATGTGCACATTCTTTTACCTGATGGTGTCCTATAAATCCTGTAGGGTTTTTTTCCCTAGGTTTTTTTTTTCATTTTCTTTTACCCCACTCTGAATAATCTGAAATAATCCAGGAGGGGATGGTGTTTCCGGTATTTGAGGGCCACAATCCATCAGCAATTGCATGATCCTTGACAGGAAGCACAGTGGAGGGTTCTTGTGGATGCAGTGGCTATTGGGGTCCTCAGTAGCATCACCGGATCCAGTGCCAGGGGACTAGGGCAAGCAGAATGGTGGCCAGAGTTGGTGCTACACACACACTCATCTGTGGGGGCTGAAACCAGGCACATGCTCCCAACAGGGCTGGGCTAAGTGATGGGCACATGGGTACTTTGAATGTCTAGGCTGTCTGTGTACACTCACGTGGCTGCAGGAATAGTCACTACAGCATGCATGGCAGTGGGGGCTTTTGACTGGAGTTCAGGCTGGCAGTGTGTAGATGTGAAGTTTCAGGGATTAGCTGTGGTCTCATGTGGCAGTGCAGTCCAGTGACGGGAGTCAAGCCTGGCCTCAGGGACTTGAAAGCTGCTGGGGCCTGGGCTGGTGTGGTATGTATGTCCAGTCACAGGGGCCATGGCTGGTTGTGGGTGCAGATTCTGAGGCTCAGGGTGTAGGTGGTGGCACTGGCTGAGGCAACTCATGAGAGGGCAGATGGGGCAGAGCAGGACTCAGGCAGCTGGAGTCAGCAAATATGAAAGCCTGTGGGACTATCAGCAGCAAAATATTAGAGGGTGCACTGCACTGTTGATTCAGCAGCTGCTAAGGCTGCTAGGGTCCTCTGCAGAGCAGGACACAGGGAACCATGGTTACTCCTGCCACTTTGCTGATACTGATAGTCCTGCCTTTCTTTGTTCCTTGCTCTGTCTAGATGTATGCCAGTATCTGGAGGTTTGAAACCAAACAGGTCATTTGTGCTGTGCCCTGAAGGGCTGGGGCTAATGACCTTTAGTCCTTTTCCAAGCAAGAGGAATTATCTGAGGCTGGCGGGTGTCCTCTTGGTGCTGAGTAGTGCTGGCCAACTCCTGGTATGATGGAGACAAAATGAAGCTCTTCTCCTTACTTTTCTGATGCACTTATTCTCAGGAGTTTTGCTCCACTGTGTTGTTGAAGCTTCTTAAATGGACTCCTAAGCTCGTAGGTCTATTTTGTTTGTGGATAGCTGTCTACCTGTTGTTCTTTGTGGGTTAACAGAGGCTGATGTGTCCTGTCTCATCATCTTGGTGATATCACACCAATCCTTCCTCACTGAGTTGACATGTGCTATAAGGTTTTTTGATGATCTGTATTAGGTTGAAGTAGTTCTTCTGTTTCTAGTTCCTTTGTGTCTTTTTATCATGAAATGGTTTTGGAGATATCCACATTAATACAAAATATACTTTTGGAAAATGGTAGTTAGATTCAAGGTTGTTGGCTTGATAGGCCAGTCCCAATATGAGAAACAGAATTATCTCTTCTCTTTTCCTTAGTTCCCTTTGGGGTAACACCGGGGAAAAGATTTCCATGTAACTGTATCATTTATTGAGAATAGCAAACAGACTCCCATCTTTTTAGGGTACACTGCTATTTTTGAAAAAAAACCACCATATTAACACATCTGTTTTTTGAGTTTCTCATGCTGCGGATATATGTGAAGGCAGAACTGCTCTGAAGCAACATACAGTTTGCCAGGCCATCTGGCTATCTTCCAATACAATTCTACTCTGCACACCTTAGGAGAATGTAGGTATTATTACTATGTTGGTATTATTACTATGTTGGTATTATTATGTAGGTATTATGTAGGAATGTATTAGGTATGAATCCAGTTTATTCTCCTGAAATAGTTTCCCTGCCAAATTTTCCATGTCACATTTACATTGAAAAGGAAATTGGAATATAAAGCTGGAAACAGCTACTACCTGTAGTGCTGCCTCCTTCAACTTCACAGGAAGCTAAGCATTTGGGATAACTATCTACTGAGTATGTAGCATAGGGACTGCTACTAAGGAGACACTAAATATTTGGTGAGTAATAGATGTTCTTTTTTAATAAATTATTTTTATTGGTGTTCAATTTACCAACATACAGAATAACACCCAGTGCTCTTTAACAAATTTTGCAAACTGTGAAGACCTCCAAAACTTATGTATGGCAAAATGTGTTTTGCTTTGACTCTAGTCCTTTGGTCCAGTGGGATTTATGAAAAGCGCCATCACTGTGTCTGAGGATGAAGAATGGAAGAGAATACGAACATTGCTGTCTCCAACTTTCACCAGCGGAAAGCTCAAGGAGGTAAGAAAAGAAGAGGTCTTTTCATTAGGAAGTAATGAATGCACCTGGGGATAATTAGAAACTAAGATGTAGTCCACTTGCAAGTGGTACTATGCTGTATTTGGGCTTCCTAAACATGGTCTTTTATCCTTATGTCCTAGAGGAGACATGATAAAACTTGTTATTAAATGTCCTTTCTTGCTCCATGTTTGTGAAAGCCATGTCATTCTAGGACTTCATTCTCGGATTTAACTTCAGGTGGTGTTGTATTTTGTGTGTAGATGTTTCCCATCATTGGCCAGTATGGAGATATGTTGGTGAGGAACCTGAGGAAGGAGGCAGAGAAAGGCAAAGCCATCAGCTTGAAAGAGTAAGTAGGAGTGGGGCTGCTGGAATTCCAACTCTGTCACGACACTTTCCAGCTGCTGCCACAGAGCCCAATTCCCACTGTTGAATTACCCCAGCAAAGAAGCTGAGGTAGACGTGTAGTGTTACAACCCCAATGGGCCAGCCAAGGAGAGGTAGCTCGCCTAAAAAGGCAGAGCAGCCAGGAGGGAGAGGGTCTTCTTTTGTGTACATGAGGCAGGATTAATTCATCTGCTTGATTGTCACCTTGGATATGGTGGAAGACAAAAATATGTGCTTGAAAATAAGGAAACACAATTTTTCCAAATCTTTGAGTGTAGAGGGTAATGAATGGTAGTGGTGGGGACCACTTGGTACATATTGCTGGGCACTGGATGGGGCAAGAAAGTTTTCATGTGGAACTTGGGACAACTTAAATCCTTTCCTGATTTTGTTGAGGATATAAGCAAAGTACTAAATATTAACTTTTATGACCACTTGTCCATCTTTCAAACTCAAAAGGGAGAAGGCCTTGCACATGGGATGGGTAGGGTGAAAAAGTAGCCTAAATTGAGATATATTTTATTTTTACAAAAAGTTTCACTTATTTATTTGAGAGAAAGAGAGAGAGAGAGAGAGAGAGCAAGCCCATGCAGGGGGCAGGAGCAGAGGGAGTAGCAGACTGCCACCCTGAGCAGGAAGCCCAAAGTGGGGCTGGATCCCAGGACCAAGAGATCATGACTGGGAAGAAGGTGGAAGGTAGCCATTCAACTGACTGAGCCACCTGGGTGCCACGGGATATATTTTAATATTGCAGGATGAACAGATGCATATTAGGACTGTCCTGGCAAAACTAGTAGCATATGATCACTTAGCTATGGCATCCCCTAAGTCAGTTTTGGTGTGATTTAATATATATTTTTTAACTAGGAACATTCTCAGTTCTTACTTTTTCCAGAAATGGGTGAGTCCTCAGGGCAATCTCAGATCAATGGAGATGAGACAAAGTGGGTCTTTCAGGAGACTTAGCAGAGGTGTAGAAAAAAGGGATGGTATTCCTGGCATCACAGAACAGGGTGTTGGTGTTCTGTAACGTGCTAAAGAGGACTCAGCTCCAAGAGCACAGAGACTGTGGTGAGAGAAGATCCAGATCAGTTTCACCTTTCCTGACTCCCTGAGGAAGCGTTAGTTATTCCACCATTTGTCCTGCTCAGACACAGTGATTATCCACCTTCTACTGCCCTTACTCAAAACACACTTGTATAATTTGCCTGATTTGGGGTCTCTATCCCTCCAAGATTAAGCTCCTTGAGCTCAGAGGTCTCTCTAACTTGCCCTGGTATCCCCATCACCCATAGCACAAGGCCAGCTGTGTCACTGGCACCTCACGAGCACCTCATCAGTGAGTGTGATGGCATACAGACTCTTTAGATGATCCATCAGGTGGTTCTCAAAGTGTGGTTCTTGTCTTGCCTGGACATTGGAATCTACAGGCACTTCTTGTTGCAAGCATTGGATAAGGATAGTAAAGAGGTGCTGATTTTAAGTATTCATGTCTTTGTTTCTCTCACAGCATCTTTGGAGCCTACAGCATGGATGTGATCACCAGCACGTCGTTTGGAGTGAACATTGATTCCCTCAACAACCCACAAGATCCGTTTGTGGAAAATGCCAAGAAGCTCTTAAAATTTGATTTCCCTGATCCATTTTTACTCTCCATAAGTATGTACATTAATGTATTTTCTTTTCTTCCTCTCTTCCTTTTTCCTTCCCTTCCTTCTTTTCTCCCTTGTTGCTTACCTCCCACTTTTCTACAACAATGTTATAGTTTATATCACTATAAACTTTTAATAGTTTTTTATTACTATCAAATGTCACATACATTGAGGCCCCCTTTTACAATGTATAATTCAATTTATGGTCCCACTGTTCATCAACAAAATTGTTAATGTTGATAATGTATAATGTATATATTTTTCCTTCATTTCTGTGCTTTTGGTGTCAGATCTTAAATTCAATGAGAAATATGAGATCATGAAGATTTATCCCTTGGTTTTCTCCTAAGGATTATTATACAGTTTTAACTTTTATATTTGGGCCTTTGATCCATTTTAAATTTATTTTATTTTTATTTGTTGTAGGAAGTAAGAATTAAACTTATTTTTCTTCTCTCTCTTTTTTTTTTTTTTTGTTTTGGGTTTTGTTTGTTGGCTTGTTTGCATGGGACTGTTCTCTTGTTGAGCACATTCATGGAAAATACTATTTTTTTACTTGAATGGTCTTAGAAACCTTGTCAAGATCAGTTGCCCACGCTGAAGGGGGCACTTGAGAGGATGAGCACTGGGTGTTATTCTATATGTTGGCAAACTGAACAACAATAAAAAATAAATTTATATAAAAAAAGATCAGTTGCCCATGAACAGAGGGTATAATTTTGGACACTTATTCAATTCCAGGGGTTTCTGGGTGACTCAGTTGGTTAAGCATCTGCCTCTGGTTTCAGGTCATGATCCTGGAGTCCTGGGATGGACCCCAAAATGAGCTCCTTGCTCAACCATTGACTTGAAATTCAAGTACAGATCTAGAGGGACTGACTCTGAGTTTCAAAGAATCCCAGTGTCTTTTAATCCTCTGATTGGTAGACCAAGTTATAATTGCTCCAGGTAAAATTTGCATTTTCACTGTGCTTTCCATTGTTCTTTTTCGTTACAGTATTGTTTCCATTCCTTACTCCACTTTATGAAATGTTAAATATCTGGCTATTTCCAAAGAAAATTACTGATTTTTTCACAAAGTCTGTAAAAAGGATGAAGGAAAGTCGCCTCAAAGATAAACAAAAGGTAATCCGGTGGTAGTTACATGTGAGTGTTCACCTTTGATGTTTTATTGAAGTGTGTACTTCAATAGAGTCCAGGGACAGCTTCATGGACTGTCAAGTGTGGTCATTTAAGTATGTTTTTAGGTAGGTAGAGAACTGGAGGGTTTAGAGCAGGAGACCTCTAACATTTTAAGGAGAATGAAGAAGATGGAGATCAGGGAAGGAGGAAAGAGAATGAGTCAGAGAGTCAACGTTTAAAATTTAATAATAAGCATGGTACCTACTATGCCAGGCAATAAAATTTGATGAGAGAAAAAAACTACCTCTTCTCTTCAAAAAATTGTCAAAGGGTACAACTTCCTGTGTAAAAATAATTTTCTGATATTAAAATTTCCCCAGATGTTAGAGTGGCAAAGAATTCCTTCAATTCCAAGCTTCTTATCTCACACCTTCTCCAGGGGAAGGTCCCATCAGGCACCTGGTAGAGTAGAGTGTGTGTTAAATTTGAGCCTGCCATAGTTTGGAGTGGACAGGAGTCTCTCTGGGCACTGAGGCTGCAAGCTGGCCAAGCCAGATTTGCCTTCCCGAGGCCTGATGACCAGCGCTAGAATATGTGTAGGAGGGAGAGGCAGGGCTGGGTACCCCAGAATGTCACTGAAGATGAGTTCCAGAGGGTGGGTCATTAGAAGATGATGACACAGAAGCTGTCCCTGGACTCTACAGAAGTCATGCTATTGGTCTGTGGCCATTCGTTAAGAAATGAGTCTGGGGGGGTGGGGAAGGACTGAAGTCAGGAACTTTCTCCTGAGTTAGCAAGCATGACAAGAGAGAGAGCATGCCACTCTTTGGCCAGGAAGCTGTGTTCAAAATCCAGAGAAGCTCAGGATCAAGGGAGCAAGAACCAAAAAACAGTGGGACACAATAGCTGGATTCCTGTCAGGGAAGCATCCTGCTCTCCAAGATTTTGGAGCTGGATGTTTTTGTTCACTGATGACTTGGGTAACACAAGCCAGACTTCTGGACTTAAAGGGGCCATATTCTCAGGAAAGAAATCCTGCATCCCTAATTTCTTTCTGACTTCACAAGTGATGTTCTGTTGTTGAAAGTTCTCTTTCTGCTTGCAGCACCGAGTCGATTTTCTGCAACTGATGATTAACTCCCAGAATTCTAAAGAAATGAATACCCACAAAGGCAAGTAAGGACAGCTTAGAGGGCCAGTGATGGGAAGTCTCTGATGCAGGGGGAGGTTCTGAGGTGTGGAGGACAAATTTTAGCAGATGTAATTATATAAATCAAAGAGAGACACGTGTTCAGATACAAATGGTAATGGAAGCATGTTCCAGAAGCACACAGCCATAAGTTGGTTCAAAGCTTGAAGGGCAACCATCGACAAGGCAGTCAGTGGTTCATGGATCACCTATTTCATAACCTCTGGGGAGCTTGTTTCCCGTGTCAGTTCTCTGAGCCTATACCTGGAAGTTCACATCAACGCTTCACCATATCAGAAGGCATATGGCCCTGGTATTGGTGACCTGGAACACTTGGTTAAAGTTGTGTTCATTGGTTTAATGTACTGTAAAGTTTTTTTTTCATTTTGTAATTAAGAAGTGACTGGTGAAAGATGCCTTTGTGACAGTGTAAATGCTGGCCACTTTCACCTACTACTTTCACCTACTACTTCTATCAGCCATGGATGCTATTTGACTGAGACCATTATTACTAAGATGGCTCCAAAATGTTGGTTTTCTAATTCCATCATTTCTTCTATGTTGATGAGTAATCGTCCACTGTTAGGGAGCTTTTCATTCTCTCTCTAAAACATTTAATTTATTTATGTCAGTATGATTTCATATATTACTAAGTCTCCTAGCTCCTTCTTTTTTTTATAAATTAATTTTTATTGGTGTTCAATTTACCAACATACAGAATAACACCCAGTGCTCATCCCGTCAAGTGTCCCCCTCCGTGCCCGTCACCCATTCACCCCCACCCCCCGCCCTCCTCCCCTTCCACCACCCCTAGTTCATTTCCCAGAGTTAGAAGTCTTTATGTTCTGTGTCCCTTTCTGATATCTCCCACACATTTCTTCTCCCTTCCCTTATATTCCCCTTCACTATTATTCATATTCCCCAAATGAGTGAGAACATACACTGTTTGTCCTTCTCCGATTGACTTACTTCACTCAGCATAATACCCTCCAGTTCCATCCACGTTGAAGCAAATGGTGGGTATTTGTCATTTCTAATGGCTGAGTAATATTCCATTGTATACATAAACCACATCTTCTTTATCCATTCATCTTTCGATGGGCACCGAGGCTCCTTCCACAGTTTGGCTATTGTGGACATGGCTGCTAGAAACATCGGGGTGCAGGTGCCCCGGCGTTTCATTGCATCTGAATCTTCGGGGTAAATCCCTAACAGTGCAATTGCTGGGTCGTAGGGCAGGTCTATTTTTAATTCTTTGAGGAACCTCCACACAGTTTTCCAGAGTGCTAGCTCCTTCTTTATTTAGATCCTCAGTTGTCTCCAATTTGTCCTCTGGAAGCCATTTCAAGTGAGTTCCTATGTTATGTTTTGTGTTATTTTTTCTTTCTTTTTCTATTTTTATGTTTTCAACAGACTTTATGTTTTGTACAAGTATTAGGTTCACTGCAATGGTTAGTGACACCGAGATTTCCCATATTCCCCGCCACGCTCACCTACACACAGCATCCCCCACTATCAGAATACGTCACCATTTGGTGTATTTGTTACAATGTCCCTCAATGACACATCACTACCACTCCAAATCCATAGTTTACATTACAGTTCACTCTTGGTGTTATACATTCCATGGATGTTGACAAAGGTATAATGATTTTTATCCACCATTACAGTACATAGAGTATTCGGTACCTTTTCCCATATTATTTTCTGAGCATTTGCTTGCATTCTAGTGTGAGACATTCCAGGTTTCTCTTCTGTTTCCCCTGATGAGGCTTGGAATCAGCCATTTCTTCAGATGTTGTGTTTCCTTTTAGTGAGCAATGATATTTAGAAACCAAAATCTGGGATCAAGGAGAGATCACTACTATAATGTTTCTTTGCTTGTATTTCCTCTCCGTGGGCCGAGTTAAGAATATCAAATACATTTACACAAAACTGATGAACATAAACATTTGTATGTCTACCCATCCAGTGATGCAATTATGGTCTCTGTGTCAGAAAGAAAAAAAAGAGCCTTGATTTATAGTTTGTTCCTATGACAGAAACATTCCCATCATGGTTAAGTTCAGGCTATCTATGGTTTCACAACCATCTCCCAAAGTTCTTGAATATTTAGCAATTTATTCTAGGGACTACAGATGGGCTTACTCCATCAAACCACTAAATTATATGTATACCTATATATACATTTATTACTTTCTATCTATCTAGCTAGCTAGCTCTTCTATTTTCTAGGTTGAAGAAAATATTCTCTATATGTCCAGTTCAATACAGAACCACTACACACATATGGTTAATTGAACACTTGACATGTGGCTAGTGTCACTGAAGAACTAAATCTTATATTGGTTTAAATTTAAGTGACATTTAAATATAAATAGGCACATCTGGAGAGTGACTACCATACTGGACAGCAGAGTTGTGAAATTTGATTTTATCATGGGCTTCATAGCAATTGGGGGAAAGAATTTGATAGTTGAATTTATCCACACCAGATTCACAGAAAGTATGACTAGAAAATCAGAATTCTGTAGACCTTTCTTACACTCACTTTGTATTATTTTTAGTTTTGAATTTTATGTCTGTGGCAAGTACCATGTTAATTTCAGTCAACTAGATTAGAGCATGACTGTGCTTAGTTTCTACTACAAGAAAATCAAAAAGGAGGCCAATATATATTCAGGGTGCATCCATTTGCTGAGGAAGGTGACATTCAAGCCATGATTAAATAAACATTGCTAATTCCACTCAGTGGATTCTGTTTGTGTATAATTCATGCTGGTCAATGTCTTTTTATTGATCATTGTTTCTTTTGCTGTTTCAATGCAGTTGATTAGACTAACGTCATTCACCACTCTTCTAGCATTTTGTCTCTGTCACGGTTTTATATGTATCTGAGATCATCCATGTAAAGAATATACCCCAGGTCTTCACTTAACCGAAACCTCTCAAAGGTATAATCCATGCTTCTCAAGCTAGGTTGTGCACACACGTCACCACATCTCCTGAAAACTCAGATTTTGATTTCATAGTTCTAGGGTGAGGTTTGAGATTCTGCATTTCTAATAAGATCCCAGGTGCTGCAGATGCTGCTGGTCCATGAACTACACTTTGAGTAGCAAGACTTTATCTGTAGCCCAACATTGTCCAGTTAAGTTCCCACGAATATGTTTACATAAAAGATAATTCAATTTTCCTGACAGTTAAGCCTTAGCATTAGAAACTCTTACAAAAAATTTAAGCTGTATTTTAGCTGGGTGAATTTATATTTTTCCTGGGGGAGGGTGCTAGCCCATGTTACTTAGGGCAGAAGTACTTTTATGATTCTCCTAAGGACTTACTGATAACTCTGTGTGTGTTAGACAGAAATACCGTCCTTTGCCCAGGCAGTTACGGAAGGAGGAGCCTGCTTCCTTCCTCAACAACCTTTTCTCGCCTCGGAGGCGGAGTCAGAAAACGCGCAGGAGGTTTAAACCGCACTTGCCAGGCAGCCTGGTGGCAGCCCAGGGCGTGATCCTGGAGTCTGTGGATCGAGTCCCACGTCGGGCTCCCTGAATGGAGCCTGCTTCTCCCTCTGCCTGTGTCTCTGCCTCTCTCTGTGTGTCCCTATGAATAAATAGATAAAATCTTAAAAAAAAAAAAGAAATATCGTCCCTTGAGATTACCCACCTGTGTTGGTGGGGTGTGTGTGTGGCATAGGCAGTAACAGGTGTTCAAGAAGAGTAGAGACCATAGGAATAATCATATCCAGACAACTTGTGCCTCTTTTGGGCTCTGTAAGATAGACATTAGAGTAAAACCGTCCCAGTTTGATTCTGAATTGCCTTTACATTTCTCACCAGGTATTTGGGAGTTTCAAATGGATTTGTCATCATTGAAGCTGCCATGTTTTACATTCACCTGCTGTAGCTAAAATGTCTTTTCTCTCCTTTTAGCTCTGTCTGATCTGGAGCTTGTGGCTCAAGCTATTATCTTTATTTTTGGTGGCTATGAGACCACTAGTACTTCTCTCTGCCTCCTTATGTATGAATTGGCCACTCACCCTGATGTCCAGCAGAAACTGCAGAAGGAGATTGATGCGACTTTCCCCAATAAGGTGAGCAGGTCATACCTGAAGAGGGAGTCATAATAGGCTTGGTTATGCCTCAGTAATAGATTAGCCCCCAAATCTAGTGGGTTTTCATAGCAGTGGTATACTTCTAATCCACCCTTGCTTGTCCAACATGGGTATAGTAGAGGTTGGGAGTAAGTCTCTGCTCCACACAGTTGGTATACAAGGTAGAGAGGGTCTGCCTCTTAACCTGCATTATCTGGAACTTGGGGGCTTCATGTTGAATGGGTAACAAGTAAGTGGAGTGTTGCTCACTTGCTTTCAAATGTTTGGCTCTGAATTGATATATATCTCCTCAGTTCACAGCTCATTTGCAAAGTGAGTGTCCCCTAATTTTACAATGCTGGGAAATATCGGGGTGGGTTGGGGTGGGGGCCTATGTGCATATTGGGTGAGCAGAAAGTGTCTCTGTCACACATCCTATAAGTATCAATGCTATTATCTCCAAGTAAGAAATCAGGAAACTGAGCTACAGAGAGACACATCACATTCTTTATCTAATACATAACTAGTGGTGAAGAAGCCAAGCGAGGCACAAGGTGCTGGGATCCTTATTGAACTCTTAACCTGTATACTGTTGACCCTTAAATATAATACCAAGTGATAGGAACATATTGCCCACATTGTTTTCTGACCTCTGACTAACTTGAGTTCCCTACTCATGAAGAGAACTGGGTTATAGGGCTGGAGCAACTTATTTGGCAAACAGTGAAACCCCAAAGCAATAATGAGGAAACCCTTCCAGAGTAGAGGGTGGGGCTGAGAATAGAATTCCAATCCCCTTAACAGTGTTCCCAAGAACGGAAATTGTGTTCTCACAATTGGAGCATCCAACCCAGCCTTCTTTGCCCTATTTGGGTTGAAAAGAACCAATGGCACCCCAAAATATTTATATTTTTGTATAATATAGTATTTCTCTCTAAATCTTGTTAGATAATTGAAGAACCAAGAAGCACTATATTTCAACTAAAAGAGTTTGTGTAGATAGAGAATATTTTCTGTTGCACATTCTCCTTCCATGGTACAGATGTAAGGCCCCTCTTTTGAAAGGAAAGTGACTTCAGCATATTTCAATAGGAGTAAGCAGGGATCCCTGGGTGGCGCAGCTGTTTGGCACCTGCCTTTGGCCCAGGGCGCGATCCTGGAGACCTGGGATTGAATCCCACGTCGGGCTCCCGGTGCATGGAGCCTGCTTCTCCCTCTGCCTATGTCTCTGCCTCTCTCTCTTTCTCTTTCTGTGACTATCATAAATAAATAAAAATTTAAAAAAAATATTTAAAAAAATAGGAGTAAGCATCATAGTATATTAGTCACTTTGTTCATATAAGGAAGAAACACCACTACCCAGGATTGGAAAAAGTTTCAGACCCTGTGTAGGTGATTGTTCCAGTGGTCTCCCTTAATTGTTACTATTGCACACATATCAGTGGGCCATTGAGCAGGTTAAAGGACATGGTAGACAGTCAAATGCCCATGAATGCCCTTTACCAAAACAAGTGATTCTTTAGGTCCCTTTCTAACAGGTCAGTAGTTGTCAGTAGGAATTGGAATTGATCCCAAATCTCAATTCATCTAAATCTCTTTCTTCCTTCCAGGCAGCACCCACTTACGAGGCCCTTGTACAGATGGAATATCTGGACATGGTGTTGAATGAAAGTCTCAGATTATACCCAATTGCTGGTAGACTAGAGAGGGTCTGTAAGAAAGATGTGGAAATCAGTGGTGTGTTCATTCCCAAAGGGACATTGGTGGTGGTGCCAACATTTACTCTTCACCGAGACTTGGATCTCTGGCCAGAGCCTGAGGAGTTCCAACCTGAAAGGTATAGGGAACCCTGAAAAGGGGAACCCACCTTCATATTGGAGGATATTCTGATATTTTCTTAGTATAGATGACAATTGTATGGTTGTACAATGATTTATTTGTACATCTTTTAATTTTCAGAAGTAATTTTTGTATTACAAAAAGATCATTGTCAAAATTTTATAAGCTGTAGAGAATATTAAAGTCATTGTCAATCAGAATACATCAAAATTATGAGTAATGATACATATGTCCTTGTGGACACTTTTCTATGCATATATTGATTACTAAAAATTAGGATGGCATTATATTTTTTTGAGTGGCTTACTTAAGATAACATTAAAGTATAACAACATACTATAATTGTGTTTGTGATTATATGCATATGCCATAATTAATTTAACCACTATATTATTGAAGGAAATGGTATTTTTTCTTTAAGTTTTTTAGTCCTCTTTACTCTCTGAACTTACCCACCATGACCCCACATTCCTTGTCTGTAACCTTGGCCACCATTCTGCTAGCCTAAGTGGGAAAGCAGGGGCTGTGGATCTGAGAGTTCTCATCTCTGGTAGGGGAAGCAGCCTCATGAGGACAGAGAGGCACACAGGTCCCGTGCTGTCTGTGGCTGCAATCCTGTGCAGCTTTGTTTGTTTGTTTGTTTGTTTGTTTTTGTGAGAAAATCTGTTGTATTTATCAGAGAGCACATGGATGCATACAGTATATAAGATTTTTGTTTCTTTTTTTTAATAATAAATTTATTTTTTATTGGTGTTCAATTTGCCAACATACAGAATAACACCCAGTGCTCATCCCGTCAAGTGCCCCCCTCAGTGCCCATCACCCATTCACCCCCACCCCCCGCCCTCCTCCCCTTCCACCACCCCTAGCTCATTTCCCAGAGTTAGGAGTCTTTATGTTCTGTCTCCCTTTCTGATATTTCCTACCCATTTCTTCTCTCTTCCCTTCTATTCCCTTTCACTATTATTTATATTCCCCAAATGAATGAGAACATATAATGTTTGTCCTTCTCCGATTGACTCATTTCACTCAGCATAAACCCTCCAGTTCCATCCACGTTGAAGCAAATGGTGGGTATCTGTCATTTCTAATGGCTGAGTAATATTCCATTGTATACATAAACCACATCTTCTTTATCCATTCATCTTTCGATGGGCACCAAGGCTCCTTCCACAGTTTGGCTATTGTGGACATTGCTGCTAGAAACATCGGGGTGCAGGTGTCCCGGCGTTTCATTATATCTGTATCTTTGGGGTAAATCCCCAACAGTGCAATTGCTGGGTCATAGGGCAGGTCTATTTTTAACTCTTTGAGGAACCTCCACACAGTTTCCCAGAGTGGCTGCACCCGTTCACATTCCCACCAACAGTGTAAGAGGGTTCTCTTTTCTCTGCATCCTCTCCAACATTTGTGGTTTCCTGCCTTGTTAATGTTCCCCATTCTCACTGGTGTGAGGTGGTATCTCATTGTGGTTTTGATTTGTATTTCCCTGATGGCAAGTGATGCAGAGCATTTTCTCATGCGCATGTTGGCCATGTCTGTGTCGTCCTCTGTGAGATTTCTCTTCATGTCTTTTGCCCATTTCATGATTGGATTGTTTGTTTCTTTGGTGTTGAGTTTAAGAAGTTCTTTATAGATCTTGGAAACTAGCCCTTTATCTGATACGTCATTTGCAAAAATCTTCTCCCATTCTGTAGGTTGTCTTTTAGTTTTGTTGACTGTATCCTTTGCTGTGCAAAAGCTGCTTATCTTGATGAAGTCCCAATAGTTCATTTTTGCTCCGTTTGTTTGTAATGGTTCATCCAAAGCAAAGTCATCTAAAAAATCTGCTCTCTAGCTGTCTGAGGAGCCTTCTTGAAGAGGTCTTGAGCTTCCTCTTCTGGGAATTCAGAGCAGAGTCTGGCTTTGGGTACAACTTAAATTCTATAAAAGGGGATCCCTGGGTGGCGCAGCAGTTTGGTGCCTGCCTTGGGCCCAGGGCGTGATCCTGGAGACCTGGGATCAAATCCCATGTCGGGCTCCTGGTGCATTGAGCTTGCTTCTCCCTCTGCCTGTGTCTCTGCCCCCCCCCTCTCTCTCTCCCTGAGTGACTACCATAAATAAATAAAATTATAAATAAATAAATAAATAAATAAATAAATAAATAAATAATAAATTCTGTAAAAGTTGGTACTTTCCTGTTTATTATATTGGTGAGGAAATTTTGGAGTGAACTTTTTAGGGATCTAGACTTTTAGCTCCTGACTCTAAGCTCCCTGATGGCAGAGCCCTTGTCCTGTTGCATGGTGTCCCTAGTGCTACCAACACATCTGCATGTAATACTTCCTAAAAGAGGTCAGAATTGACCAAATCAGCTGTTTCTTGGATCAGAAGCCCTGGTGGTTCCCACAAGCTCAGCAGTCCCCATTCCTGCCACTTCTCAAACAGAAACCAGAAGACCACTCCTGGTGCTTCTCTCTGATTCATTCAGTCATGAGAGGAAGTGCTTACTTATATGTGTTAAGGACTGTGCCAGGCAGTGCAAGATTCACGTATTACAAATGGCTGTTATGGAGAATTTTTGACACATACACAGGGATATCCTGGAAACACACAGTGTAAGAAATACTTTTAATGCATCATATGTGCCCATCACCTGCCCAACAACCACTAACCATGTCAGCTGCCCCATCCACAAACCTTTGCAATTCCTTGTCTGATTCCCATATTACATTAAGGCTCATCATCTATAAACACACTCCAGTATGTTCCTCATAATATATGGAGTTTTAAAAAAATACCTACTGAGAATGCCATTATTACCTTCACCAAACCGACATTTTTCCCTTAATATAAATATTGAGGAATGAGTTTTGAATAAAATATAAGTCTAACCTTCAAGGAATTCATAGCTTCATGGAACAGATAGATATCAGTGATTATACCGGTATACATAACCGTGAGTATGAGTATAGTGGAGTAGCATCATGTGCCCATGTAAATCATCTGACATACTGTTATTTGGAAGTATGGTGCTACTGGGAAAGGGGGGTAAATGAAGGGAAAAATAACAATACAAATCATGGGAGGCATTTTTCCTGATTCCTTTAACCATGGATATGTGAGCAATGTAAGTCAGTGGGGGCAGGATCCTACTTTTCCTTCAATCAGACTTATTTCCTGCTCACCTTTCAGAGAGTGAACAACTCACCACCCTGAATGTAATTCCAGTATTCAAGACAAATCTTGTTTTCAACAGCATTCATCTCATCTCCTAAACAGTACCGAATGCTCCCATAAGGAAGGGGTATCCAATATCTATAGCTTAAAATTGTCACTACAGAATAAACACAGCAGGATTTCAGTAACCAGTCCAAAGATTCCTATATACTCCTGGTTGAAAACTCCTAACATGTGCCTCTTCTGGTTTTTATGTTTCACTAACTTGTTTCCAACTTGTATTGTGGAACCAGGTTCAGTAAGAAGAACAAGGACAGCATAAATCCTTATACATACCTTCCCTTTGGAACTGGACCCCGAAACTGCCTTGGAATGAGATTTGCAATCATGAACATGAAACTTGCCCTCATCAAAGTCCTGCAGAACTTCTCCTTCAAACCTTGTAAAGAAACACAGGTCAGAGAGATCACTTTCTGCATAAATAGTATTTCATTGTTTTTTTTAACTAAGAGATATTGAATGGATGTGGGGGGGGGTCATTTATTCTTATTAATTTGTCCTATTGCTTGGAGAATCATTTTTGACCTTTTAAGTGTCCTTCAGCTCCTGAGAGCATGTCTGTGTCTTATGACCACCCAACCATAAGGATCATCTATTCAGTGCAGTTCACATGACATTATGCACAGACCTTTAACTTCAGCAATGTTTTAAATTTCTTTCAAGTCCACTGAAAGGAAGGGAACAAGTTGTGTACAGTCATGACATGCATTGATCACCGTGACATGATGTTTGAAAGGTGCTCTTCCCCACCACAACTTACAGATGCTACCAAGACCATGGTTCTCAACCTATGGTTTTATATTGGAATCAGTGGGTTCATTAAAAATCCTGATGTCCAGGTCATCTCAGAAATTCTAACATAATTCACACAGTGTCTAGCTTTAAAAGTACCCTCATTGATTTTCAAGTACAAGCAAGGTTGACATTCACTGGTTTGAAGCATTTCTGCCAGATGTGACAGACTATCATGGTCCAGGCCATCCTGGGCACTTGGCCCCACTTTCTTCGAGCCCCACTCCAGTCTATCTGTTCTCCCTTTCTACTCCAAACTGCCACTATGAATGGGTATTTCCATTGGGAGAGGTGACAGGATCATTAGCAGGGAAGATGGCCATAGAATAAAATACATGATACCCACTCAGGATGACCTTTAAACTTCAACATACATAATTGAACTCTATATCACTTCAAAATTGTATGCCATAATGGCTAAGAATCTGTTTTAAATTTTGAACACTCATACTTTTTACATAAAATCTAAATCAATAAAAAACACAAATGAACTCTATGTACTCAAAAGATACTCTGTTGAATGAGTGATGAATAAATGTTCCATGCTCCAGTCTTGATAGCTTACAGAATAAGATGAAGAATAAGAGATATAGGATGCTAAACTGAGAGTATTTATATATTTGTAACACATTAGGGTCCTTCATGTATCTTGCTTACTTTGCATCTGTCATTGGCAGGGCTTCATTCCTGGCTCTCATTTGCTGGTTTAACTGTTGCAGATTCCCCTGAAATTAAGTTCTCAAGGGTTAATTCGACCAAAAGAACCCATTGTTCTCAACGTTGAGCCAAGAGATGGGGGTGTGCTGGAGCCTGAATTTCCCTAAGGACTTCCCTTTTGTTCTTTGAGAAGCTATATCCCAGAACACCATAGACCTCAATTTCCTATGTGAGTAAAACCCAGAAATGAAGATGGACTTTGTTTACTGCCCATGACGGATGACTAGAGATTCTGTACACGCCTTCAGCTTTGTCTGGTGTCTGTGTGGAGCATTATATATTGTGGAGAGTAAAGGATGTGACTAATAAGTGCCAGACATGTAGATGCAGTCTATCTGGTTCATACAGACTTACCCCCAGTTTGTACCATCTACTCCCCTGAGCACTGATCAAGAATAGAAGGGAAGGGAGAAGAAATGGGTAGGAAATATCAGAAAGGGAGACAGAACATAAAGACTCCTAACTCTGGGAAATGAGCTAGGGGTGGTGGAAGGGGAGGAGGGCGGGGGGTGGGGGTGAATGGGTGACGGGCACTGAGTGGGGCACTTGACGGGATGAGAAATGGGTGTTATTCTGTATGTTGGCAAATTGAACACCAATAAAAAATAAATTTATTATTAAAAAAAGAATAAAATTGAACTCCAATAAAAAAATTTTTAAAAAGAATAAAATTTTATCAACATTTTATCAACAAACTATAATGAAAACAAGAATTATTGTGGTAACTGTGGTAGTGACATTTATATCACATGTCTTATTTGGAGTATTCTACATTAAATATTACACTGAGCAAGTCAGTCAACATATCTTTACAAAAATACTAACCAATGCCTTTATGCACGTTAACAGGGAATCCATAGAACTAATGAGTGAGAACCAGTGGCTGAATATTTGACCATCACAATCACTGGTGGACGGGCCTTGTTCAGAACTTCAATGTGATCTGTTAAGATAGAGAAAGTTAATCCACTATGACAATGGGCACATTGCTCAGAATGTATATTCATAGTTTAATTCAACAGTTTTTGAAGCACTTGTCTTTTATAACAATCGATTGAGGCACTTAGTATTATATTATTAGTTTTGATTTAACATTTTCATCTCTCTGCCTTGTGTTCTGGTAGACAGGGCACATGCTTTCTCTTTGTATTCCAGCCTCAGCTCCCAACTGTCTTGACACAATGAACATTGAATAAAAGATGGTTCATTTGCCAGTTGATTGGTCAGAAAGCCTAAAACCATTTATCCATTTCATTTGGTACCAGAAATTACACAGGAATCTTCCTACTTATCCCACAACTCATGCCCTTCTTTATCTTTTCCTCTTCTCTTCCTTTGCCTTACCTTACAGATAATTCAGTCCTAAAGCTAACTAGTGCAACACAGGCAAGTGGGCAGCCCCACATTGGGGGCCAGAGGCAGAAGAGTCACGGTGACTCCAAGTTAGACACTGAGTAGGGTGGGAAGGTGTCCACATGGAGGAGCAGACTGGCATGGGTGTGGAAGCCCAAGCTAGGTGAGATGAGTGCCATACAGAGGGTGGCCTGGTGGGAGCCCTAGAGTCTAAATATAGTATAGAGACCCAAGTAGCATGAAGGTGATATCTGTGAGTGTTAAGGGATGAGGTAGGGATTAGTTAGTTACATGAAGGAGGATTGATCAAATAAGTAAATTATTTAGGATAAACAATTTCAGGAATTTCTCACTGTTGGAAAAGGAAGTCACTGATTGGATAAAGAAGATGTGGTTTATGTATACAATGGAATATTACTCAGCCATTAGAAACGACAAATACCCACCATTTGCTTCAACGTGGATGGAACTGGAGGGTATTATGCTGAGTGAAGTAAGTCAATCGGAGAAGGACAAACAGTGTATGTTCTCACTCATTTGGGGAATATGAATAATAGTGAAGGGGAATATAAGGGAAGGGAGAAGGAATGTGTGGGAGATATCAGAAAGGGACACAGAACATAAAGACTTCTAACTCTGGGAAATGAACTAGGGGTGGTGGAAGGGGAGGAGGGCGGGGAGTGGGGGTGAATGGGTGACGGGCACGGAGGGGGACACTTGACGGGATGAGCACTGGGTGTTATTCTGTATGTTGGTAAATTGAACACCAATAAAAATTAATTTATAAAAAAAAATAAAATAAAATAAAATTTTTTTAAATTTAAATTCAATTTGCCAACATATAGTACAACACCAAGTGCTCATCCATCAAGTGCCCTCCTTAGTTCCCATCACCCAGTTACCCCATCCTTCCACCCACCTACCCTTCTGCAACCCTTAGATTGTTTCCCAGAGTTAGGAGTCTCTCATGGTTTGACTCCTTCTCTAATATTTCCCACTCAGTTCTCCCTCCTTTCCCTTACAATCTCTTTCCTATTATATTCTGCATATGAGTGAAACCATATGATGATTGTCCTTCTCCAATTGACTTATTTCACTCAGCATAATACCCTCCAGTTCCATCCACATCGAAGCAAATGGTGGGTATTCGTCCTTTCTGATGGCTGAGTAGTACTCCATCGTGTATATATACCACATCTTCTTTATCCATTCATCTGTCGAAGGACATCATGTCTCCTTTCACAGTTTGGCTATTGTGGACATTGCTGCTATAAACATTGGGGTGCAGGAGTCATTGATTTAAAAAGGGTGAAAGCCAATGAATCCTGTGTATTCAGAGATTGGAAGTAAGTGTGTCAAGGTCAAGTCATGCTCTTCTCTAGGTAAATGATAGACTGGTAGAGAGGGAGAGAAAAAGAGAAATGTGTGTGTTTGTCTCTCTGTGTATAAAGACACATGTGTCCTACCTCTCCCCACAGGGATTTCTTAGTAACAGTGACACTGTAAGAGCAATGAGCACACTTTGTGCCCAGATCTTGACTTATAAATGCCATTTTCCACTGAAAAGAGCTAGAAATTCTCAGAGAAACGGCTGATACCAGGCTTGAAGAGCACATGATGAGCCTGGAGCATGTTGAGCTACACAGTGATGGAGACTCTTCCATGGGATGCAAAACCAGCCTGAGGGGCTTCACCCACCCGTCAGGCATGGTTTGGGCATCATTATAACTAATGTTAGGAAGAGATTATAACCTATTAAATAAAATAGGGAGGGATCCCTGGGTGGCGCAGCGGTTTGGCGCCTGCCTTTGGCCCAGGGCGCAATCCTGGAGACCTGGGGTCGAGTCCCACGTTGGGCTCCCGGTGCGTGGAGCCTGCTTCTCCCTCTGCCTGTGTCTCTGACTCTCTCTGTGACTATCATAAATAAATAAAAATTTAAAAAAATTTAAAAAATAAATAAATAAATAAATAAAATAGGGAAACACGAGTACACAGGTGGAGATAAATACAGGGATAAATTAAAATCGATAAGGACACTTATACAGCTTCAAAGTACTATCCCTCAAACATTCATGAGTTAAGAAGAGGAAAGAGCAGCTCATAGAGCAGAGACCTGGCAGACAAATGAGCATCATCAGGAACAGGAGAATGTGATGGTATATCACTGGAAAGGATGTGATGAGAAGAACCCAGAATCACCTGTAGGATATTCTTGCCAAGTAGGGAAACCTGTAAATAATCCCTAAAAAGGTCACACAAACCCAAGCTGAGTAATATCTACTAATTTAGCTGGTGTGTGATCTTCTACAAAGTCAAGGTCTTGAAAGTAACAAAAAAGAGAAAAACAAATCAGAATGGATTCACTTTCTGGCCAAACTCTCCTCATAGCAATCACAACTAATGACAGTTTCCATCTATCTCAGGAGAGTGAATTTTTTTTTTTAAAGTCTTCCTGAAACTTCCTGATAGGCACTAGTCAGTCATCTGCAGGATAGAAACCCTGCAAGTCCATTCCACAAAAAGACGGATCTTGGCCTGAAACAAAACTTTCTTTTCCTTCTATGCACTTCTCACTCTGCCCTCCTTCCTAGAAAACCCTGCATTTTGTACACCTCCTGGGAACATCTGTCTACTTGTCAGGTGGGATGTGCCAATTCATGAATCATTTAATAAAACCGATTAGATCTTCAACTTGTCTTGCTGGGATTTTTTTTTTTTTAACAAAAGCCAGAGATAGACTAAGGAAGTGTTTCAGACTGAAGTAAAGAGACTACAGAGGGGAACAGGTAAACTCAGTGTGTAAGCAGGGTCCTTCTGCTATAAAGGACATTGTGAGGACAGTTGGGAATTGAGGGCTTTGATGGTTACACAGCAGTAATGTGTCAGCCTCCCTTTCCTGATATTTCTTTAAAAGATTTTATTTATTTATTCACGAGAGACACACAGAGAGAGGCAGAGACATAGACAGAGGGAGAAGTAGACTTCTCGCAGGAAGCCTGATGTAGGACTGGATCCCAGGACCAGGATCACGCCCTGAGCCAAAGGCAGACACTCAACCGCTAAGCCACCTACGCGTCCTACTTTCCTGATATTGATGGAGAATCTCTTTGGGGGAAATATAGGGGATTATGAAATATCAGGTCAGTAACTTACTCTGAGATGGGTCAGGAACATCATTCTTGGAACAGACTATTCTGGAAGATTCTGATTGTTTTAGGGAAAAGTGAGTCACAAAGCATCTTGGGCCTACACAGCTCTCCTCGTCCCTTGCATTAATCTGACTTGTATTATTTAATACAATGAGGCAGCACCACACAGTGATGAGAGATGTGGAGTTCTGAAGTTGGAGCCCCTGGGTTTGAATCCCAGCTCAGTCCAGGGCTGAGGCTTTGGGTAAGTGAGGAAAAGGTGTCCACTTTGCATAGCTGGGCCACAGGACTTGGGCTGCCTTTCAGCACTTTGTCATTGCTGCCTTTCAGCACTTGTATACCCTTTAGTTGAATGCCACTGTGCACATACTAGCCTGGGCTTGGGCTTTGTTGGGTCCCTAAAAGTAGAGCTTGAGATGGGGATTCTGGAGCAAACGGATTCTTGAGAGAGTGCTCTCAGGAGAAAGGATTGAGGGGAGCTGGGCAGGGCAGGAAGACAAGCTGAGCAAAGCTGTGATCAAGAGAGCATGATCTCATGGGGAGCTCTGGAGGGCAGAATTGTATTACAGAATTGATATCACTTTGAGGCAGGGGCTGTCATTTTGTACCCCATCAGTGAGTCATAGACTGCATTCCCACCCCCAGGAGGCACCAACTCGTAGGTGAAGTGGATTCAGTTTTGCCAAGGGTGATTCTCCAGAGAGTAGGCCAGCAGTGAGCTCATAAGAATGAATACTTCCAGCAACTTGGGGATGAGTATGCTTCCCAGTGACAGGAGTCTGGTACCTTGCTCCTCTATAGACACTTACACATGGGACCTTGAACTAATTATTTAACACCTTCCTGCCATGGTACTCAGTGTCTCAGATCTTGTCAAATAGGGGAATAATGGCAGTGCCTATCTGATGTGATGATGAAACTGGATGATGTGTGGGGGAGGTATTTAAGATACAAAGGGCATGGAGCATGT